CTGCTGAGGGTGTTGGCGCTGGGGCTACTGCTGTCAGTCCTAGCGGCGGTCCTGCTGCGGGTGCTGCTGGTGCTGCTGGAGGTAGTGGAGCTGGAGGTGCTGTTGGCGCTGGTGCTGCCACTGGGGGTGCTTGTGCTGTCCCTGCTGTGTCTGAAGTCGCCACGCGGCCTCGGCCGTACTTTGTTCCGCTCCTTCAGCAGGTTCTTGGTCTTCCTCCTCCCTTAGAGTGTCCACCGCCTGTCCAGTCACAGTCACAGCTACCGCCGGCCTCCCCACTGCCTGCTCCTTCTCCCTACACTGGTCCCACTGGAGGTCTTGCTGAGCGTCGTGAGCCTGCGTCTCGTCCCGCGTCGCCTGTTGGTGCTGCTTGCGCTGGTGGTCGCGGTTTGCGTCAGCCTCCTCCTGTCCCTGGCATGCACCGGATGTCTCTGCGTCCGTCCACTGCTCCTCTGCGTGTCCCTTTGCCTTCTCCTCCTGAGTCCTCTCTTCCTGCTCTTGCCGACCCGGAGTCGGACTCTCTTCGTGCTCCCAGTCCTACCGTCACGCGTCTCCTTGCTACTGTCGTCACTGACCCCTCTTTTGAGTCCACTGCTGCGTCTGCTCTTGTTGCTGAGCTCGTCGACTTTGCTGCTCGCTGTCGTTTAGACTACGCTGCTAGTCTTGTTGCTGAGTCTGCGTCTGTCTGTCCTCCGTCCGTCGGGGGTGAGTGTGCTCTTAGCACGGACGTCCTTGAGGACACGCAGGAGGAGTTCCAATGTCTGGCTGCTGCTTCACCTCATCTTGTGTCCGTACTGCTTACCCCTGAGGGAGACCCGGATGCACTAGACATCCCGACTCCGCGCTCTTACGCGGAGGCGATAGAGGGTCCCTACTCCTCTCCGTGGTAGGCAGCTATGGATGCAGAGATGGCTTCCTGGAAGTCCACAGGCACCTACGTTGACGCGGTTCCTCCTCCTGGGGCGAACATCGTCAGTGGCATGTGGATCTTCAGGGTGAAGCGGCCGCCGGGCTCTCCACCTGTCTTCAAGGCGCGCTACGTGGCTCGTGGCTTCAGTCAGCGGCAGGGAGTTGACTACTTTCAGACCTTCTCTCCCACCCCAAAGATGACCACTCTTTGGGTGCTCCTACATATAGCCTCTCAGCGTGACTACGAGCTTCACTCCCTTGACTTCAGCACTGCTTTCCTGCAGGGTAGCCTGCACGAGGAGATCTGGCTGCGCCGTCCACCTGGCTTCACTGGGACTCTCCCTCCTGGCACCCAGTGGAGCCTCCGACGGCCAGTCTACGGTCTCCGCCAGGCACCGCGTGAGTGGCACGACACACTGAGGACTACGCTTGCGGCTCTTGGGTTTGCTCCCTCTACTGCTGACCCGTCGTTGTTTCTGCGCACCGACACCTCTCTGCCGCCGTTCTACATCCTCGTGTACGTCGACGACTTGGTCTTTGCCACAGCTGACACTGCTGGACTCGCCCACGTGAAGTCCGAGCTGCAGAAGAGACACACGTGCACAGACCTGGGTGAACTGCGCAGCTACCTTGGCTTGCAGATCACCCGGGACAGAGCACGCCGCACCATTACCTTGACTCAGTCACACATGGTGCAGCAGGTCCTTCAGCGCTTCGGCTTCACGTACTCCTCGCCTCAGGCCACTCCTCTGTCTACTCGCCACTCGCTCTCAGCTCTGCCTTCGGATGAGTCCGTAGAGTCGAGTGGCCTGTACCCAGAGCTTGTTGGCTGCCTCATGTACCTGATGACCTGCACACGACCTGACCTCGCATACCCTCTTAGCATTCTTGCACGCTATGTTGCTCCTGGGAGAGACAGACCAGAGCACATGGCTGCAGCGAAGAGGGTGTTGCGCTACTTGTGCAGTACGTCGGGCATGGGGCTAGTGCTTGGAGGGTGGAGTCCAGTGGTCCTCACTGGGCACGCGGACGCTTCTTGGGCTGACGACCAGGCTACGCAGCGGTCGTCACAGGGTTACACCTTCAGTCTTGGTTCTGGCTCTGTTTCGTGGCGGGCTACTCGCTCGTCTTCTGTTCTCGGCTCCAGTTGTGAGGCTGAGATCTACGCCGGGGCCATGGATGCACAGGAGCTTCGCTGGCTCACCTACCTGCTGACTGACCTAGGAGAGCCGCCTCGTTCTCCTCCAGTGCTGTATGTAGACAACAAGGCCATGCTGGCCTTGTGTCGGGAGCAGCGCCTGGAGCACAGAACGAAGTACATTGCTCTCCGCTACTTTCTTGCTCGTGAGTTGCAGCAGCGTGGTCAGTTGCGACTTGCGTACGTGGCCTCTGAGGCCAACACTGCTGATGTTTTCACCAAGGCACTTCCGCCTTGTGATCATCAGCGCTTCTGCACTCAGCTGGGTCTTGTACCTGTCTTGCCTCACTTGCTCACCACTTGACCTTGCTTGTACCCTTCCCTATATATATATATATATATATATATATATATATATATACCTGCTCTTGCTTGTTTAGCCTTATATATATATGTGTACTCCTGCATGTGAACTGGCCTTGTGGCCTTGACCTTGTGCTCGGACTGTGTGGTGACGTTGTGATCCACCCTGAGCTTTGTCTGCTTTGCTTGACTGGTCTTGTAACCCCTTATTCTCCCCCACTTTGCCTATGGGGGTGTGTCAAATTATAATATTGTGTAGGCTATAGTGGGGTAGCCTATATGGGGTACACATTTCTAGGGTTGCATATTTGTATCACTTCCATTCCTTAGTCAATCCATTCTCGTTCCACTTTCCTCAACTCGCACTTAGACCCCTTCGTAATCAGCCTATGTTCCTGTAGACGCCGGAACACCTCCTCCAAATCCCGTCAATGCTCTTCTTTCGTTTTGCTATACACCATGATGTCGTTGAGATACATGATGACTTTTTTGTCCAGCATGTCCCGGAAGATCCCGTTCATGGTCAGTTGGAATGTCGAGGGCGCGTTGGTCAGTCCGAACGGCATTCTTCATAACTGCCGTAGCGTGTGCGAAAAGCCGTTTTCGGGCAGTCGTCGGCGAACACGCGAATTTGGTGGTAGCCGCCTCGCAAGTCGATCTTCGAAAAATAACGAGCTCCACGAAGTTGATCCATCAGATTGTCAGTTTGCGGGATTGGGTAACGCGATTTTATCGTGACCCGATTCAGCGCCCGATAATCGATGCACATGCGTAGGCCCCTGTCCTTCTTCGGTGTGAACACTATCGGCGCTGCAAACGGCGACGTGCTTGGCCGTATGAATCCCTTGGCTAGCAAGTAATCCAGCTGGCTTCGCAGCTCGTCAAGCTCTGGTTGGCTGAGCCGCCACTGCGTCTGCACACTAGGTTGCGCGCTGGGTTCCAGCTGGATCCAATGGTCTTCTGGACGCTGAGGGGGTAGGCCATCCGGGAGGCCGTCCGCGAAAATTGCGGGGTACTTCCGAATAATGCTCGCCAACTCCTCATGGACTGCCGCGCAGAGCGTGTCGATGTCCGCGATTTTTTCGGAAGCCGCAATCTCGTACAGGTGCACCGCATATGCTTAAGCTCCACTGTTAGTCGCTCGCGCCATGTTGATGGCGTTGACACGTGTCATCATCGGCTCCGTGTCCGTCCACTTCGGAAGCATCATGAGCCCTCCCTTTCCTCGCATAGCACACGCTCCCGTCGTCCAGTCGATCGCCGGATTAAATTTTTGCAACCAATCTCGCCCCAGAAGCACATCCCAGCCGACCGAAGTCGTCGCCAGCATCTTCATGCCGAACCCGAAATTGTCGCCACACTTGATCCGATTTTTTTGCACTTCATCTCGGATGGCCAGTGGCGTCCCATCCACCAGCCTTGCATCAATCTCCGGTAGACATCTGTTCAGCTCCACCCCTTTCTTTTTTTGCTGTTGCCTGGTTGACGAGGCTGTGACTCACCCCACCGTCGATGAATATTTTTATTTTATAACCGTTAACCCTCCCCACCACCAGCATAGGGTAGTCCGCGTGTTCACCCACGTTATTCGTCCGGTTGCGGTTGATAGCTCTGATCGGTACCACGACCCGGTGTGGATGGTGATTGTCGGGCGACAGGGTCTCGTCAGTAGGGTACCCATCTGCTACTGACTCGTTTCTTTTCCCGACCCTTCTCTGCAGTTCTTCTTCCCCTGCTTAAAGCCCGGGGTCAGCATGGTAATTTATCAAGTTATGTGGGTTTGAAATAGTGTTGGCGAAACCTTGAAAACAAGAATTTCGGCAAAGTCAGTGTAGCGAGAAAAATATCGATTGACGTGAAGGGGGTCTCGCAAAATATCGATATTGACGGATTTGCAAACGTGAAGCGATGGTGAACGATACTGTGCAGCTTTGACGGATTTGCAAGCACTGTGGAGCGACTGGAAGGAGTGTCGCAAGGATTGTTCTTCAGCCAATCAGGTTCAAGTAGTGGAGAAGGTCCATGCACAATGCGACTACTAGCAAAAACGAAAACGGGAAGCACCAACACGAGTGAGTAGAAAGAACACCACGATCAATCAAGCTAACTACTTCGTGTGAAATAACCGCAGGAGCTAACAAGGAAACGTGCAAACAAATGTGACATGCCAGAAAACGTACATGCTGAGTTGCAGGAAGGAGGGTTGAGAAGAGCGCGACACAGCGCGATATGGCCTCTGGCACATCGATTGCCTCTGGCAGCACGTAGGTCGACGATTTCGGGGCATTGCAAACGTATATTGGGCTCGAAAGTGCCTATTACTTAGGGCAATGCCATGCTGGGGGCGTCCACAATACGCATACCCTTAGGGTTACGCAATTCTACTCTGTCAGCCACCGGTCGGCCACGGGCGGGTAGCAGCGCGCGAAATACAGAGACGACCATCCCCCTCACCGGTTTACGCGCAGCTCCCCTCCGCCCCCTGCGCTCTGCCCCCTCCACCCCCTGCGCTCTGCCCCCTCCGCCCCCTGTGTTCTGCCCCCTGCGCTCTGCTCTATGAGCCCTGCGCTCTGCGCCCTATTCTCTGCGCCCCATGCTCTGCGCCCTATGCTCTGCGCCCCATGCTCTGTGCCCCATGCTCTGTGCCCCATGCTCTGTGCCCTATGCTTTGCGCCCCATGCTCTGTGCCCCATGCTCTGTGCCCCATACTCTGTGCCCCATGCTCTGTGCCCCATGCTCTGTGCCCCATGCTCTGTGCCCCATGCTCTGTGCCCCATGCTCTGTGCCCCATGCTCTGTGCCCCATGCTCTGCGCCCCATGCTCTGTGCCCCATGCTCTGTGCCCCATGCTCTGTACCCCATGCTCTGTGCCCCATGCTCTGTGCCCCATGCTCTGTGCCCCATGCTCTGTGCCCCATGCTCTGGTTCCTATTCCCCATCTCGCCAAACCTCCACCCGCCCCCGCCCCTTTCCAATCCCTACCCCTCATGGTTGTCCCCTTCCTCCCTTTCCCCCACCCGTTTTCTTCCTCCCGCATGAGTTTGGGAGGAGGGCAGGAGAAAGAAATTCGAGGGTGGAGTGTCGTCCACTGCGGCATGTCTCAACCTCTCTCCCTCTCCCTCTCCTCCTTCCTTTCTCTCTGCCCGCCGCTCCGTTCCCCTGTTCCTCCTCGCAGGGGGGGTGCACACCGCCATGCACAGCATAGCGGAGTGCATGGCAGCACTCTCCGCCGCGCCCTTCCTCATCTCCGCTGCGGGGGATGACGCTGCAGGCAGGTCGCACTGCTGCTGGCAGGTCGCAATGCTGCTCTGCTCTGCTCCCCATGCCACTCCCCTCCTCCTCTCGTGCTCCCCTCCAGCCTGCCACTGTCCACCCCCCCCTCTCTCACGACCCTCTACGCCCATGGCTCACCATTTCTCCCCCTCATCCTTGCTTCACCTCATTTCCCTCCCTACTTCACCTCATTTCCCTCCCTGCTTCACCTCATTTCCCTCCCTGCTATCCCTGCTTGTACCCTCCTGCTTCCCTTATTTTCCCCCCAGCTTCCCCTCATTTCCCTCCCCCGACCCCCCCCGCTTCCCCTCATTTTCCCCACTGCTGCCCCCTCATTTCCCTCCCTTGCTTTCCCTTGTTTCCCCCCCTGCTTCCCCTCGTTTCCCCCCTTGCTTTCCCTCGTTTCCCCCCCTACTTCCCCTCGTTTCCCCCTCTTCTTCACCTCGTTTCATCTTCCTATCTCACACTTTCCCTCTCCCCCTCTTCCTATCTCCCCTCTTCCCTATCCTCCCTCTTTTTACGGTACTTACGTCTTTCCCTCTCAGCCCTGCTTTCCTCTCCCCCCTCTTCCCTATCTCCCCTATTTGACTTTAGTCTTGTTCCCCCTCCCCATCCCTCGTATTCCCTCCCTCTTCCCGGGTAGTGCAGTGACAACAATGAAGATTTTCTGGCACTGCAACTTGCCGAAGCCCATCATCCCATCCCTCATGATTTTTTCAAGTCCTTGAGAAGGGTACAATCAAAAGTAGAATCATGCCTCTATCTACCCTTCTGACACTCCTAGTGCCCATGCATCTTGGAAGAATATATTGCACTGCAGAAACATAATGCGCTTTTGAGATGGATATCTCCAACAGTAATACAGTATCATGCTTGCATACAGCATACAAGAAACAGGTGGTGGTACGGCGTAAAGCATGGACTAGCTCTAGCTGCGCCTCAGCTTGCTCCTCTGCTTCACCACTGAAAATTTGGGGAGTGGAGTAGGCAGAAAGAATTGTGTGATGGAAGATGGGGGAAGTTGTGTGAGGTGCCAAGGGAACAACTGCAGGGGAACACAAGCAAGCGCACATGATCAAAGCATGTACCGGTATGGGGAGACAGTGATGGGTGCACATGCATGGTAACTGGAGGGCGGAAGGTGAGGGGGAAGGGGAGGGCATGACATGAAAGGGAAGGGTTGAGAAGGGATGGAGAAGGGAAGGGCAGGGCAGGGAGGGAAAGGCAGGGATGGGGAGGGCAGGTGGGAACAGGGGAGAGGGTGAGGGGAAGGAGGGCTGAGGGTGGTGGGGAGGAGAGTGTGAGTGCGAGAGGACGGAGAGAGAGAGAGAGTGCGAGAGGACTGAGAGGTGTGAGTGCGGGAGGAAGGAGAATGAGAGTGATGGGAGGCAGCAGGGGGGGAAGCAGGGAAGGGGATGGGGGGAAGTGGGGAAGGGGATTGGGGGAAGCAAGGAAGGGGATGGGGGGAAGCAGGGAAGGGGATGGGAGGAAGCAGGGGAAGGGATGGGGTGAAGCAGGGAAGGGGATGGGGGGAAGCAGGGGAGGGGTTGTGGGGAAGCAGGGAATGGGATGGGAGGAAGCAGGGAAGGGGATGGGGGGAAACAGGGAGGGGGATGGGGGGAAGCAGAGGAGGGGATGGGGGGAAGCAGGGAAGGGGATGGGAGGAAGCAGGGGAGGGGATGGGGTGAAGCAGGGAAGGGGATGGGGGGAAGCAGGGAAGGGGATGGGAGGAAGCAGGGGAGGGGATGGGGTGAAGCAGGGAAGTGGATGGGGGGAAGCAGGGAAGGGGATGGGGGGAAGCACGGGACGGGATGGGGGGAAGCAGGGGAGGGGATGGGGTGAAGCAGGGAAGGGGATGGGGGGAAGCAGGGAAGGGGATGGGGGGAAGCAGGGAAGGGGATGGGGGAAAGCAGGGGAGGGGATGAGGGGAAGCAGGGAAGGGGATGAGGGGAAGCAGGGAAGGGGATGGGGGGAAGCAGGGAAGGGGATGGGGGGAAGCAGGGAAGGGGATGGGGGGAAGCAGGGAAGGGGATGGGGGGAAGCAGGGCAGGGGATACGGGGTAAGAGGGGATAGGATGGGGGGAAGCACGGCAGGGGATACGGGGAAACAAGGAAGAGGATGGGGGGAACGGGGGCAGATGCCGGGGAGAGAGTTGAGGGGAGGATGGTGGGGAGCAGAGAGGGAATCAAAACGATGTTCGACTGTGGTGGCGGAAGCGATCACCTCTGTTCCTCCCCATCTGTTCCTCCCCATCTGCCCCACCCCTTCGGAAGGAATGAGGGAGGAAGGATGCGCTGGAGATGGTGAGATGGGGAGAGGGGAAGAGCGGATGGAAATGCGGATGACGAGGGGAAGCGCGAGTGACTGGGAGGCAAGCCCGACGACGGGACGCGCGGGCGACGAGGGGAGGCGAGGGCATCGAGGGTCGGCACGGGTGATGAGGGGAAGCGCGAGCAACGAGAGGGAATGTCGGTGACCAAGGGAGGTGAGGGCGGCGAGGATCGGTGTGGGTTGACGAGGGTGATGAGGGGAGCGCGGGTGACGATCTGAAGCGCGGTATGTTTACTACTAGCAATTGCGACGAGGGGTTGTGTGGTTAACGTGGTAGAGCGCGGGCAACTAGGGGAACATATGCGACCAGAGGGTCGGGGAGGGTAATGAGGGAAAGCGCGGGCGACGAGGAAAGCGGTCTGACGTGGGCAAGAGCGGCCGACGAGGAGGAAAATGTGCGATTAACGGCTGAGTGCGTTACGCGAGCCAGTACGGCATTCGCGTGAGCGACCCGTGCCTAAAACGGTACGATCGTGACACGAGGCTGAATGGCAGCAAGTGTGACAAGATCCTGCGTGTGCGACGCGAGCTTGAATGCAAGACTCGAGTAAAGCGAATCTCGTTTACTAACGTAAGTGCGGTGGGTATACGGGTTGTAACACGAGACCGGTGACGTGAGGGAGAGATCGGAGCGTGCACTGACTAAGATGGTTGAGGTGGACTTACATTTCCTTCCGCACAGAAAAAAAAAGCCTATCAACGACTCGCTTTTGCCAACTAGCGCTCGTTTTTGCCTTGGAGCCTACTAGCCTATGAGTACTACTTGGTAAGCAAGTTATGTGAGTGGTGAACAGTACAAATGGTTGGCGATCATCGCGTCAGTTCTGGTTTTGGGCACTCGGTTTCCGTTGTCGCAGGACGATTGCGGAGAATCACTCTACAACGGTAGTGAGCTAGACTACGGGGGTTGGCACGAACTGCTAGGAGTGATCGTAGCTTTGCTTGGTTCCTTAGTGCTTGCACATTCACGGGAGAAATCGGCAAGAGTTTCCACTAGCAAAGTTGGAATTCCAGAATGATTGAACAAGCAATGACAGAATGACTACATCAGGCACCTAGCAACCCTGCAGCTAGCCTGGTCGACCGCCAGCACAGCTCGATCGACCGCCTGCCAGCGTTGCGTAGAGGGGCCGCACCAGCACTGCGGAAAGGTGACCTGCCAACAGAGCAGGTCGACGGCGTGCCAACGCTGCAGCGGAGCGGCTGTCCAGCGTTGCCCCGTAGAACACAGCAGTGCGCACGCTCGCAGATGCGCGCAGACAATTGGCCCGACTTGCCTCGTTGGGCATCCGTCAGCTGTTGTCTGCGCATGACGAGCCACATCGACTTCGGGATACTAGCCCGCAGTTGCCTGCGCCATCGCAACCTCGACGACGTTCGCGTGCCTCTGCAGAACTCGTCGACCACCAGGTGCTTCCGGTCGACCACCACTGCTTCTGGTCGACCACCAGGTGCCTCTGGTCGACCACAACTCCCGTCGAGCTACCCCCTGGTCGACGGACCCCTTCCGTCGACTTGAACCATCAGCGGTTGTCGCCGAGCTCCCCTCGTCGACCGCTGCTCACTTGTCAGGTCGACGGACTGCTCCGTCGACCTCCCGATCGAACTGCAGGTCGACGGAATGCTCCGGAGACCTCCCGGTCAAGCGGCAGGTCGACGGAATGCTCCGAAACCTCCCGGTCAAACGGCAGGTCGACGGAATGCTCCGGAGACCTCCCGGTTGAAAGGCAGGTCGACGGGATGCTCCGGAGACCTCCCGGTCGAGCTGCAAGTCCTGGTCGACGTCCCACCTGTCGCCCAGACCAGTCAGTTGCAGCTGTCGAGCTCCCTGGTCGACAGCAACACCACAGTGGTCCCCTGCAGCTCGACGAAGCCTGTCGAGCAGCTCTCCCACTGTGAACGGTCGGCTGCTACTCCCGTACATCCGACCAAGTCGTCGGCGTTGCCCAAGCGAGGGCGGGGCCAACACTCCATTCGTGTTAACAACGATTGCCTGGGGTCGTGAGAATTTTCTCAAAACAAGTAGGGTAACCCTATTTTTGGCGACTTCAAATTCAAGAATCTTGAACTTGAAAATCACCATGCTGTACTCGGGCTTTAAGCCTCGGGCAGTCTTTTTTTAGGTGGCCCAGCTGGTTGCATATGAAGCACGGCCGAAGGGCTCCGCTTGGCGCATCCACGCCGTTGATCGTGGGCCGCTGAGTCGGTCCGCGAAATCGAGGGCCCTCCTGGGAGCTCGATCTCGCCCACTGTATCAGTGCATCCGTTGACTCGACTTCCCGGACAGTGTCGTTAAAGCTGCGTGGCCGCGTTCGTCGGACCTCGTACTGTATCTCGTATTTCAAGCCTGCTAGCGATCCAACCGCTCCGCGTAGCTCATGTCGTCCACTTGATCCGCCAAGTTGTAGGATGTGCTGGTGTATTATTGGACCGAAGTCAGCTGCTTCCAGGCACGCAGCTTCATGCGAGCAGAGTTCGAGACGGATATATGCTCAAATCTGGTTCGCAGGGCGGCGCCCCACTCCCTCCATGTGCGTATCGTAGCTGTCCCGAAAATTGAAGCTGCTCGTTGCGTGACATGTGTCGAAGTCCCGTCGTTCGCACGTGCTATTCCTGCCGAAGTCCCTTCGTCTTGCAATGTTCGTCGCCACCACTCCAGCGCGGGTCCTCTCAATAGTGAAACTGCGAAGTTAATGCGAGTGGCATCGTCATTAATCATAGCAGCATTAAAAAACACCTCCACTCCGAACAACTATTCAGAAACAGTGACGAACTTGTCACATGGGTTAAACGGGGGCGGGTTTGTCGGCTTGATTTTAACAGTTGTTGAAGCCGCTGCTGCTGCTATCGTCGCCGGAGTTGTCGCTGCTGCACGTGTCGGTGCTGCATGCGACTGTTGCGGTGACTGTTGCTGTTGTGCCCGCCTCGCATCATCCGCATCCATGGAGCCTTCTAATTCGCTCCAGACCCGCTCATCTGGCGTGGAGCTGCTACTTGCGTCCTCAACGACAGGCGACTCCTGGCGCGCTTCACTACGCGCCTGGTGTAGTTCCGCGTTTTCCTTCCGTAGACGCTCCATCTCCGCAGACATTGTCTGCAAGTTGGCCTGCATCGCCCGGAACTGGTGCATGAACTCGTTGAACTCGGCCTGATCCATGTGCCTCAGGCTTCGTCGAATGGGCAGGGGGCGGCAAGCGATTTTTCTGACTTCGGTGAAGGCGTAAACGCTATCGTAGTCGGTGTGAAATAATCATATCTATTTCACAGGCCGACCGTTTTACAGCCCACCAAGTCTATCGCTCCCCTTCTACAAACTACCCCGGAAACGCGAGGGTGAGAAAGTACGAACGAGAAGTGAGATGACTATGAACGAAGAGAGTACAAATAGGAAACCCTAATTGGGTTGTACCCCCTATGGGATACCCCACTATAGCCTACAGAAACAAGTAAGCTATATGTTCTGACACACCCCCATAGGCAAAGTGGGGGAGAACAAGGGGTCACAAGACCAGTCAAGCAAAGCAAAGCAAAGCTCAGGGTGGATCACAAAGTCACCACGCATTCCGAGCACAAGTTCAAAGGCCACAAGGCCAGTTCACATGCAAGATCATATATAGAGATATACAAGAGCAAGAGTATATATATATGTGAAGGTACAAGCAAGGTCAAGAGGAGAGCAAGTGAGGCAAGACAGGCACAAGACCCAACTGCGTGCAGCAACGCTGATGATCACAAGGCGCAAGTGCCTTGGTGAAGACATCAGCAGTGTTGGCCTCAGAGGCCACGTACGCAAGTCGCAGCTGTCCACGCTGCTGTAGCTCACGAGCAAGAAAGTAGCGAAGAGCAATGTGCTTCGTTCTGTGCTCCAGTCGCTGCTCTCGACACAAGGCCAGCATGGCCTTGTTGTCTACGTACAGGACTAGAGGAGAACGAGGCTGCTCTCCAAGGTCGGTCAGCAGGTAGGTGAGCCAGCGTAACTCCTGTGCAGCCATAGCCCCAGCGTAGATCTCAGCCTCACAACTGGAGCCGAGAACAGAAGACGAGCGGGTGGCCCGCCACGAGACAGAGCCGGAACCAAGGCTGAAGGTGTAACCCTGAGACGACCGCTGCGTAGCCTGGTCGTCAGCCCAAGAAGCGTCTGCGTGCCCAGTGAGGACCACTGGACTGCGCCCTCCAAGCACTAGTCCCATGCCCGACGTACTGCACAAGTAGCGCAACACCCTCTTCGCTGCAGCCATGTGCTCTGGTCGGTGTCTCCCAGGAGCAACAAAGCGTGCGAGAATACTAAGAGGGTATGCGAGGTCAGGTCGTGTGCAGGTCATCAGGTACATGAGGCAGCCAACAAGCTCTGCAAACGGGCCACTCGACTCTACGGACTCATCCGAAGGCAGAGCTGAGAGCGAGTGGCGAGTAGGCAGAGGAGTGGCCTGAGGCGAGGAGTACGTGAAGCCGAAGCGCTGAAGGACCTGCTGCACCATGTGTGACTGAGTCAGGGTAATGGTGCGGCGTGCTCTGTCCCGGGTGATCTGCAAGCCAAGGTAGCTGCGCAGTTCACCCAGGTCAGTGCACGTGTGTCTCTTTTGCAGCTCGGACTTCACGTAGGCGAGTCCAGCAGTGTCAGCTGTGGCAAAGACCAAGTCGTCGACGTACACGAGGATGTAGAACGGTGGCAGAGAGGTGTCGGTGCGCAGAAACAGCGACGGGTCGGCAGTGGAAGGAGCAAACCCAAGTGCCGCGAGCGT